ATAATCAGATGCATAGAGATTACAGACTTATGTGCAAACATCTAAGTGTTAGTAGCATTAAAATGAGTTTTTCTATATGAAACAATATATTTCAAAATGAAATGGAGATCTTTTTTAAAGGTTAAAAACTCATTCAAATTTATGTCTTATAGGGTTTATGCTGAGTTCAATATTGTATAACTGTATTAATTCAACTGTGAACCTAAAAATTTACAACCAATTTGAAAGAGATGCATTTTGCTCTGGAAATTGTTATTGAATATGTTAATGCTGTAATGAAGTGCTTCTTCTAACCATGTGGTTATTAAATAAATAATTAAAAAAGCATTATTTTACAGTAATTAATGAATTTATTTATTCAGTGTGTGCATATGTGTGTGTGGTTGTGGGTGCATGCCTGCTGTGGTATGCATTCCATGGTATGCATGGGGAAATCAGAAGGTAACTTGTAGGAGTCTATTTTTTTTTTTTAACATGCGGGTCCTGGAGATTAAACTCAGTTTATCAGGCTTGGCCTGAACATCAGGTATGGTGGCAAGCGCCTTTATGCACTAGGTCATCTTGCTGGCCTCATATTGTACTTCTTAAGCCCTTGTCCTTACTTACTCTTGACATGGTAGGATCCTATCAATCAACACTATTTGCCTATTAAAGTCACCTATTTTTATAGGCATTTAAGTTTAATATGTGGTAAGCCCCAGAAACCTGTGCATGCTTTGATGTGCTTTGAGACTTTCCAGGTGTTCAAACAAGAGACAGACTGTCTTAACTTTTCACTGGTTGGAATAAGTCTGAGTCTCTTTGGGAAATGATGGGGAAAAGGACAGATGGAATGTCTACCTACTTCCTGTTATAACAAACACCACTTTCATGCTTATGGATATTCCTCAAACTGTTTCCTCCAATTCTCTTCACTTTCTTCTCTATCTGTCCAAATCCTCCAAGGTCTGGTTTAATCCCCACTTTCTCTGTAAAAATTCCCCAACCCTTTCTTCTGTAAGACTATCAACCACATTTTAAGTGATTTGGGTTTTCTTAAATTTCAATAGCACTATTCCAAGATCTTCCATTGTGGACACTGTATATGATATACACATCATACACCATTAGTTCTTTGAAGGCAAAGACCATATATTTTGATCATTCTTGAACTTTGTGTATGGCACACATAGGTGTCTGAGCAGATTCTTACAAAACTCGAATTTCTAGTAGATGTATCAGGAACAAATTTGTAGTCAACAAATCTCAGTAATCTTGTCTGGGAAAGTATCTTATTTCTCAACAGCACTTCAGGCATCTAGTGTGATGCCTAGCACATAGTAAGCTGCTGAACCAACATTTTACATTGTTCTTCTCACAAGGCTGACACAGAGACATAATGTACCCTGCTACCTATATAACATTATTGTGAGAATGCTCTCATTAAAAAAGTCATGCCAGAAAATCAGGAAGAAATCCCTAATCCAAACCAGGACTTGGTGACCTACTCCATCAATGTACTCATAAACTTCTTCTCACAGACTCTCCATGATATAGTTTGGTAATATCAAGCTTCCTGTGGCTTTTCTACTTTCTCACCCTTTATGGGCTCACATTACAATTAATGGTATAATGGAGTTCTTATAAATCACATTTTTTTATGTGAGCATTGAAAAGCGGCTCGATAAGCTACTGGGCCAGGTGTACTGTACCTACTCAAATACCCCTGCCTGGCAGCACTTCAACCACTGCATTTAAATTTAATATGATCTGGCCAGCCCTTCCACACCTAGGGGGTTCTTATAAGCTTCTGAGTACAAACACACCCATCTACACAGACACTCACCCACTCACTTGTTCACATACTTTTCCCACACTGATGTCATAGTGGACTGGATTTACAGTGATAACTTCTTTCTTCCCCGAGGGTCTTTGTATGTCCTGCAGTCAACTTGGTTTGTGCTATGCAGTCACTGACCAAACAGAACATGAATCAGCCTGCGAAAATGGAGTATGATAGCTTCTTTAACATCAGGATGATGAGTTGGCCTTTGAGAAAACAAGTAAGGTAGAAATTGGCCTGAAATCAACACAAAGAAATTGTAAAGAGTTTTCATTACTTTGATAAGTAAAACGTAAAATTTTTCCCTTATAAAGAATTTGTCTGGGGATGGAGAGATGGCTCAGTGATTAAGAACACTGGTTGCTCTTGCAGAGAACCTGGGTTCAGTTCCCAACACCCACATGAAAGCTAAAAACCATCCCTAACTCCAGTTCCAGGGAATCTGACACCTCTTCTGACTTCCGTGGGCATTGCATAACACAGGTATACTTACATACATGCAGGCAATACCCTCATACACAAAAAATAAAAATAATAAAATATTAGAAAAGAATTTGTGTGCATGAATGTTTATAGTGCCATTATTCACAACAATCTAAAGATGGAAACAATCAAGTTGTCTATCAACTGATAAACAAAACAGAGTCTATCCATATACTGGAGTAGTAATTGTCATAATAAGGAGTACTTTAGTGATACATGCCACAACAACTATGATTCTCGAACACCGGTTGAGTGAAAGGCTAATCACATGGTACCACACATTACATGACTATTCACATGAAAGGACAATCTATAGAGACAAGAAATTAGGTTAGTATTCTGGGGGAATGTGATAATTGGGATGTTGTTAGCTAAGGGTTGCTTTTTAAAAAAAATTTAATAACTACATGATTAGAAGAAGAATTTCATTACAGCTTTAACATATTCAGTAACGTACTCCAGACAAGAGTACATCTCTTTCACAAGTGGTTGTAAGTTTCTAGGTTCACAGTTGAATTAATACAGTTATACAATAATGAACTCAGTATAAGCCTGAAAACCATAAAATTGAATGAGTTTTTAACCTTTAAAAAAGATCTCCATTTCATTTTAGAATATATTCGCATGTGTATGTCTATAAAGTCATTGCGTAGATTTCAATGGTATTATCACCTTTACTAATTAGCATGACGTAAGTTTCCATGCTTCCTCATCAAATATAACACATTTTTAAAAATTTGTTGATTTTGTGTGTGTGTGTGTGTGTGTGTGTGTGTGTATCACACAGAATATCCCAAACCATCTTATTCAAATATAAACCCACTTCTCAGATGGCACCCTCCCATAGCCTCTGACTCCCAATAGAGAGCCCTTATAGTCTGATATCCCTGCTGCTATGTACTGTGTTGTTGGCATCCCCAGCCGTTCCCCACTACTTGTCCATCTGGTGAATCTAGTCAGCCTATCTAGAAGTCTTTGTTTTAGGAAGATCAGCTGTTCCTCATCTAGCAGCAATCAGTTCTCAATATTCCTTTAGATAAGATTGGGGTCTGCTGTTCATTTTCCCAGTTCTATGCTGGGTTACTATCTGGGAGTCCCTTTGGCCACCCTGGCCAACAACTCAAAAGAAAGTATCTCCTATCTGGCATTGTTGCTTGTTATGTAGCTTTTAGCTATACATATGGACTCTTAAAAATTATATTGGCCCCTTTAATCTTTGGTTATACTTTCCTTTTGGGTGTTTAAGGCCATAGAGTTGGCCCAGATAAACCAATTTATTTTTACTCTTAAGGCCATTTGAGGATCTGTGCTTCAGGGGTCACATGGGCTTGGGAGGAGTCTCTGGCTCCTTTCTTTTACCAGTTCCACCTATGTGAAGATAAATCAAAGGTCCTGCTTGACCAGGGCTGGCTTCACTTGGAAACATGGAGGAAATGATTCCTCTGTGTTGACCCTCCTCTTTGTAGACTGGACACTGGTTCAAGTCCATCTCATGGGGTCTTCTTAGCCTCCTTGGTCAAGAAGACAGGTGGCCCACCACAATTATGGGACATTTTGAGCAATGCTCATAGTCCCCTGGAACTAGTCAACCTAGGAGGGCAAGGATCAAGAACTGTCCTTTATGACCTTCTGATCAAATTATTATATGTCTCAAAGTATTTCTGTTAAACATCCAAGAAGGTTGGTTCCACCAGTCTGGTACTGTGTGTCATGTAGATAAATCTTGGGCAAAGACCAATTGTTCTCAGATAAACCTTACCTAGACATATATTTCTTGATCTGCCATGTACAATTTGTCAGTAGGTTTTTGGGG